AAAGAAAATAATTTGCAATAGGAAATCGCCCAATTAACTTGATAAAACAAGGTCTTTAGTCTCTGCAAGCAGTGACTCACAGAAAGCACACATATATAAATTTGCATGGGGAGGAGGTAAGTTAAATATTTCATTGTTTACCCCGCAGAAAAACAAAGGGAAGGGGATGTGGAATAGAGCAGGAGAAGGCTGGAGGTTCCCGAGGCGCCGGGCTGCCGGCAGCTCTCCCGGGAAGGCGGCCCAGGGCGTGTGGGGCCGGGCCAGGCCAGCAGATGGTGGTGCTGCTGTTTTTAAGGATCTGCCTTTCCCGGTGGTTACGCCTCTCGATTCACTTCGGGACGCCTGAAAAATACGAACCACCCGAATGTAAATACATATTTAGGGTGTACTGCACTCACAGCGGGGTCTCTCTGTATTGTCTGTCACCCTGACTGTATTAAGAGGCCATAAAATGCAGCTACAGAACAGCATCGCCCATTGGAACTGATCCTGCAGCTCCCAGTTCCTGCCCCCAGCGCTCAGGCAGCGCCGAGGATACAACAGCGCTCCAGGGACACGGAACAACCTTTTCTGCCTCATCACTTTTTCTTAGAAAGAAGAGAAACGTGTACCTATCGAGGACATGTGAAGTGCAGAATATGGAAGCAAAATCGGCAAGCACCAGTTACAGAAATTATAGTGAATTAAACTGTATTTATGCTAGAATGCAAATAATTCTTTGTAAAATTAAGACAGCTGTCTGGAAAGCTTAGTTCCAAAGAATGACTACCTGGGCACAAGCCAAGGCAGGTGAGTTACTCACACTGACCCCCAGCACCCTGTGTATCTCAGCCTATCTGAAGCAATGGAAAAGAAATAAAACCCGTTGCAGAAACTCCTCACGTGGACCCACCCAAGCTACACGTCTGCACTGCAGGTTCTACTGGAGCACTTAATCCCGCTGCTAATAAATTTTAAATAATTAGACTCCTGCTCTCAGCAGTTTGGGCTGATGTCTGTGTGTATCCCAGCCAGCAGGCCCCATCTCCAGCAGCGGTGACCTTGAGCTGGTGGCAGCCCGCAGCCCTGGGAAGCACGCTGGAAAACTCCGCATGCTTCCTGCTCGACCTCGGTGCTGGAGATTTGTTAGTGTTGGCAACGGGCTGCTCTTGTGCAATACTTCATTGTGTTTGCCTCCATTTTTCCACCAGCCTTGCTAAAATCAGCCCTTCTCTGTCTTTACTGCAAGATTCCTGAAGATTTTCTCTCGGGCACGTGGGCCTCCTTTTCAGTCACATCCAGAGAGGATAATTCTAGAAGGAGAAACTACTGTCTGCCTTCCTCACCTTAGGAAAGCACCTAGGAAGCTCACAGAGCTTTCCTGGCAGGAGAGGGGGAAGGGCTTTGGCCCCCTGTGCCTCATCCCTCACTTCCTAGAAACACAAAGCTATGAAAACAATAGCAGGGACTCCGTCCAACTCCAGTTGCTCTGGGAAGGATGACACGAAGAGCCAGCAGAGCCGTGGAACTCAGTGTTTTCGATAGCAGCCTCCCTCCCTCCCCGTGTGCCTCCAGGGCTGCAACTTCCCCTCTCCTCTCTTCGAGGGCACCTGACAGGATCTGGAACCCTTCAAGATCCTCTTCTGCACAGCAGGCAAGAAATGGACATTGGGAAAATCACGCCAGGGAAAGATGTGGGTGGCAGGGAAGGGTCGGGAGGAGCGGATGGACAAACTGACAGCCCGGTAGGTGCAATGTGATGGTCCCCTCCCTCAGGTCCACTTTGCACCCCCACACACAACTAACCAGCCCCTTCTAGAACAGGGCAGTTCACATGTAACCAATCACTAGTTATTTACATCAAAGGGCTGCTGGATTGGGCCAAAATGCTGACAAACAGAGCAACATAAAAATTAGTAGCACTGGCCCTCCCACTCAACCTTTTGGCTTCCCTTTATTAACAATACCTACATTGCAAGAACAAGAACATACTGATTATAAGGAAAGCAAGGCAAATCTTCTCCAAGTTTAATCACTCTAAGCTGTACATATTCTATAAAGTCTTTAAGACACAGCACTAAAATTACCTTAATTTACATTTGGATATTGCATTATCCTGATGCATCCTTAGTTAATCCTTGGTACTTAAATGGATTTTGGTATTTAATTTGTGTTACTTGAATCAACATTACAAAGTGTTCCAAGGGATGATTAAAAATCTGCAGGAAAAGTTGAACACTCTTGTTAGAGAGATATGTTAAAATTCCAAGCAGTGCACTTGAAGTAATTTTTTTTAACTTTTTAAATTGCAAATTTGACCAACCAGTGCTTTCCTGCAGCTGTACAAAATTTTTTATTTTTTTTTTTAAGTTAGATATCCTGCCAGTAGAAAAAAATCAATTCCCCTATCTACACAAATCCCTAAGTGCATGCAATTAGAACGTCACATTCAAATTTGCACATTAAGCTTTCTTTTTAAAAAAAAAGCAAAGATGACAAATTGGAAAGCATAACTATTAAAATGAATACTAAAACGCTCTCTCCACCACAAATTAATGTAAATCATTTCTGCACTTAGATTATTTTTAGAAGGGATCAGACAAAACTGTAAAAAAAGCCCAGAGCAGATGCAGATAGTGACAGTAACCCTGGCAGAGTTGCTTATTTTAGCCCCAAGGCATCTTTCATTATCTTATGCTCTCCCATCATTTGTGAAATAAGACACCGTATGATGCAACGTGCCCAGGTCTGATGATGGAAGAGGTAACAGAAAACAATTTTATTTTTAGCCTTACTCTGACATCAAAGATGTTGACAGAGTCTGGATGTCTGCCCAACAGGCACCGTGCTGCTGGTCCCTTCACACAGAAAAACAAAGAGAGGGGAACACCTACCAAAAGGCACTGTGGGCAGAGCCCAAGTTTTACACTTAATCCCAGCATGGATCCCATTCAAGGACAAACTATACTCCACAGTTTCACCACTCCCGTTTAAAATCTGCAGAAGGACCAGAAAGACAAGAAAAATTCCTTTCTTTCCATGCAGTCCTTCAAGAGTCAAGGCCCTGAGAAGTGAATTATTCGACCTTCCTTATTCTTTTTCAGCAGCCTGTCAGCCTGCAGTGCAGTCACCCTCAAAGCTGGTTCCTGACACAGGGCTGGCCTGGGCTGCAGCATCACAGGGCACTGCCAAAGGTGGTTGTTAAGGAGAGAAATAAGGCAGCTGGAGATCTGCTCCCAGACAGAGCTCTGCTAAAGAGAAGCTGTGACAGCTCCTTGCAGCGACAGAACAACACATCTGCTGGGTAGGAGAAGGTGCCAGAGGCCCAACTTGCCACCCAGGCTTCCACAGATCACCCACCCTCACAGCCTGGGGCATGTTTAGCACTACCAACACCAACAGACTCAAGGCAGGAAAGTCAGCTTTCTCTCTTCAGTGCATTTGAAAACAAGCCACCCTTGCAAGTGAATGTACTGGATACAGAAGCCATCTCAATGAAACCTGTTGCCCTTAGAACCAGAACCACCAAACCAGAATTTTTGAAACCTTCCATCAAAATGAGGTCACTCAAAATATTTGATAGAAGCATTTCAACTTGCAAACCCCTACTTTTTAATTAGTTTGATAGAAACCCATTGGTTGGCAAACCAGGCCCAACTTGCAGGCACAGAAAGCCACTGCAGAAGTTGGAATAAGGAGTTACTGAGCTGAATTTTATTAAAAATGACACAGAGAAGGTTATGAACTGCAATGAGAAAGAAATGAGAGTCATATTTCCTTTGACCACAGAGTCTTGTACATGGTCCCAGAATCTCCAGAACCTGCACTGTGTATCCCTCCTCTAGTGCTGTATTTAGAGATCCACTCAAACGGGAAAGGAAATTAAAAGATTTGTTCATTGCTACAGAACATCCTCTAAAACCTGTATGAATAAGTAGTCCTTAATCTTGGAATTAATATGGTCACTCCTGCCTAAAATTAATGCTTGGATTTTTACAGCCATTTAAAATGGGCAGCTTTTATTATTGGAACTTTTAGCATACAGAAATGTTCTGAGTTTATCATGAAAGCAGTTACTTGGTCTAGTTCTAGATGTCTACACAGTGACAAAACCCAGCAATCACTGCATTGTCTGGACTTGACAGGTAATCCTACAGGAAAGAACAGCACTGGAATGCTGTTTCCTTCTTTTGATGTACGTGAACACGTGTATCTTCTTGGTGGTAGGGGACAGAGGAGGGAGCTTTCTCATGATTCCCTCATTTAAAAGAAAATATCCAAAACATTTAGAGCCAAAAAAATCTAAAATTGTTCTGTTAAACACTGTCTACTTTCAGACAAATAATTTCTAAGGGCAATACTACCTAGTGACCGTCAGATATGCAAGCATCCCTGAGTAAGAGTTTAAATACAAAACCAGGTAGTGTAATTTTATTAAGCCACGCACCAAGGAAGACAAAATAAGTGTAAGAGGACAGCCCAGCATATGTCAGCATATCAGCCCACATGAACTAAGTTGGGAAGATAAACAACTCCCCCAAATAACAAGGTATTGAACTAACAGGGGAAAAAAAGGCTCCCATTAATGCAGAACATATGAAACATCAGAGCTAAGTAAACATTCAGTTGTTACACAAATCACTAAAATGCATAGGCAGGTTCCAACAGCAAAACCCAAAACACATGATCTGATAAAGTGCAGCTACCAGAAACAAATGTGAAGAACAGTGGAGCAGAGATGCTGCTTCCTCAGCCCCTTCCAACCAGCAGTGGCAGCTCTAATGGATGTGCTCCACATCCTGGGATGCAGCAACAGGCACACAACCCAACCCCTGTAACTGCCCCCATCTACCCCATGACTACAGCCCCTCTGCTTAGCATGATCACATAAGCCTTTCCTTTAAGTTTTCTGTCCTCTTAAGAGCACTTTAATTTAATTATTGCCTTTGGTGTCTGTGGAGCTGTGCAGCCTGTAAGGTTATACTCCACACAGTTCATGTGCAGCATCTGAAGTTTCTTACCTCCAATATTCTGGATAATTATTGTAGTTGCAACCAGGACCTATAAAAAAAGAATTGATTTCTTTAGAAAGGGTAAGGGTAACTAAAATCGTATGTCCCCGGCAGCCATAAAACACATGTGTATCATCTTAACCAGACCAGATGTGGCAGCGATAACTAGTCCTGAGAGGAAGGGCATCTTCTCCTTGGTGAAGAGTTTAACACATGGAAACCAACACAAGCCAAAAATGAACACGAAAGCAAAAAAAGTCCTCCCTGAAAATCAGGCATTTTTATTCGGAGATGACAAAACAAGAATACTAACACAGATCTGCAGAAGATCAGGGGTTTAAATCACTGAAAACATGTAAGTGCTTCCTAACTTATATCAGGTGAATACAAATGAAAGTGATCATTTAGCTCTGAAAAGACAGACAGTAGAGATTTGTCCAAGCTCAAGTGCACTTCCTCACTCCAAAAACTTGAGTGTTTTTAACCATCAGGGATGTCATTGTTCTTTAGAACTTGTAAACCAGACAGACTTTTCTTTAGCGTTTGTGATTGTTCATACGGGGCTGATATGGGAGCAAAAATGATCACAGGCTACTAAAATACTTGTCTGAATCCAAAAGAAAATTAACTTCTAACTGAAAAAAAGCTTAAAAGCGGCTATGAAGTTTTCCCACTGTTTTCTTCTCAGTTCAGTTCTAAAATCCCACGATCATCTGGTGCAGTTTTTTTTTTTACACACTGCTCTTCTTGATTTAGGAGCAGAACACTCCTAAATGAGTGCTACCATTAAGTCAACTTGAAAAAAAAATTGAGCCTGAGTAATGAAAAGACAAACAAATTTGTACTTTTGAATAAAATCTGAAAACAAAGTTGCCGGTTTTTTTTCAACTGATCAACTAGAAAATCATTTCAGACTTTAAAGGAATTCAAAGTCAGTTCAAAAGTCACCAAGGGAAGGAAAAAAACCCTAAAGTATGGTATCTTGCAGTTTGCCATACATGGAAACAAATACTTCACCCCTTTGGAAAGGGAGACTCAGCAACCTTCCAATGGCAGAAAATTTCCATCCTCACAAATCTCAGAAAAAATATGTTTGAAAGAAAATCACCATAAGGTTGAGTAATTGCTCTACTTCAAGAGTAATTAATCAGCCAGTAATTAGTCAGAGTAATTAGTCAGCCTAAGCTGTCAGTTCAAGCAAGATCCTACAGTGGTCTGACTGCATCATTCCCCCATGAGTGAGGAAAAAGCAAAAGAAAAAAAGTCTGTGCCTGACTGAAGTGAGAATTGTTCAGAGACAGATTAGAATTCAGAATGGTTGTGGTGAAACCAGAAAAGCCTAAAAATCAACCAGATCAGTTAAAAGCAAGGCATTCAGGAAGATCTCAAAAATATGATTTAGAGTTATTAGATTGCAAATAGAGAAAACAGTCTGAGATAACACAATCAGAAATAGCAAAGCCTGTTTTGCAGGCAAGTTTTAAGAAAGTTGTATAAATATCAAAGATGCTTCAAGATGGAAAGATAAGTGTTTGGGAAAAGTGTTCATCAGGAAAACTGGGTGAACTTTGGTTAATTATTTTAGGTAAACAACAGCTTCCCAAACTAAAAATATTCCAGTGCTCTCTATGCACACTGAAAATAAAAGATAATTTTTAGCACAAATTATTTAAACTGAGAATTATGAATAAGTATACTTGGGAGAATTAAAAAAAATTACTGACATTGGCTATATAGTGAAGCTGTGAAATGTCTTCATTTAAGCTTTTAAATAACAGATTAGACAAACATCTGCCAAGACTGGTTTATGTATGTTCACCCTGGGTTCAGGGAAAAGGCAAACTAAGTCACATTTATTTTGTCTTTAAGATCTAAATTTCTGTGAGCTTCACGAGCAATGGCTTATGGTTAATGTGTGCAGAACAGCCCCAGTATAAAATAACTGCACTTCATACCTTGCTAATATCAAGGCTTATTATCTCTGGAGGTTGATCACTTCAGAACTTTGATCAATAAATATTGATCCTCAGACTACACTCATATCTGCTTATTCATGCTAATGGAAGTCTCACAAACACCTGATATCTCAGCTTTAATTCTCGGTTACATTAAGACATGAAAAAATCAGACTCCAGCCTGATGAGCAGAACTAATTAAAAAAAAACTTACATTGTTTCAGTAAAATATTAAAATCATACTTCTGTGTGGTAAAACCTGCTTTTAGTTACTGAAACACAGAGCATAGAATTCATAATAATAAGTGTGCAGTACTCACAGGCAATATTTCCTGTGCACCCAGTATTACTGGATAACATTGTCTGTTAGGAAAAACGGATCCAGTACACACCTAAAAAAACACAGCTAACATTTTGATTACTCTTATACCAGAAATGGTTAGTTTACTGGTGGTTTTGTTGGTTTTTTGATTGTTTATTTGTTGGGTTTTGTTGATGTTTTATGATTAAAAAACTAAGTAAGAAACATTCATGTGAAGAGCTTATTAAATAAAACAAAAAAAATACCACGCAGGAAACGTACTCTTAGTTGTTCCTGTTGTGGAGATTGCATGAAAGACAATCCCTTACCTTAGATCCCTGTGAAATGCTGGAACACCAACAGTGGATCACTCACCTGTCCCTCAGCAGTTTCCAGCCAAGGCACGAGGGGACTGTAACAAACCTGAGCCCGAGTGCTGAGCCCGCCGGACAACAACGCCAGGGAGCACATTTGTGCTCACAGCTAAAAACCTGGCATTTTAAGGAGGGTCTATTTTACATTTAACTGAAGTTTGGGCTTCCACAGTCCAGAAACATGTACTGAAACCTAGTGAAAAGCTTCAGGCTGTAACAGAATTTCCAGCACACTGAGGCATCAGTAATTACACAACCTATTTCATCTGTGCCTTTTTACGACGCAAGGGACAGTTGCATATCAGAAGCATGAGACCAAGAAGGAAAAGAGAGGTAAAAATAAATACTCACCTTTCCAGCTGATCCAAAGGCAAACAGGCCAAGGTCTTCATAAGATGTGGCAGCTGTTAGTAAGGAAAAAAAAAAAAAAGCTAAAATATTTCTAACTTCAAAATCGCTTGGAAGCTCTATCTTTGCCTTCTTCCCCCTTTTTAAATGAATGTAATTCAGGTCAAAAGAGCATTCTATAGCATTTTTTATTTACAAAATAGCTTTTATATATGCCTGTACCCCTGCTATAAAATACAGCTCTGTGCTGAAACATTCAGAGACTCAACAGAAACTCAATTTAATATTTAAAGTGCTAATATTTAAAAAATAAGTCATACATTAATGACAAATTGCCTTCTTCCAAAGACTTTTTCCATAGGTGAAGAATTATGAAATTAGCCTCAAGAATTAGACATAAGATATTTCTATATTTTGTTTCTTAAAAGAGCACACTTTTTTTTCTAAATAAAGATGATAACAGAGGATAAATTTTCATCTTTCTACAAATACAAACATCACCATCTCGCCAGCTTTTAAAAGTCAGGCACTATTTGTTTTTAAGAGAGCTGAAGGTAAACACCTTCCTTAGTTGAAATCTATTATTAAAAAAAAAAAAAACTAAACCAAAACAACAGCAAAGCAAAACCCAGAACAAAACAAAAATCCTGCACCCAACTTACATAATGACATTAAACCAGCCTGTGGTTTCTTGTATAATTTTGTTGGGTTTTAGCTGAAGCTCACTTCTAATATTGCTGGTAACTCAAAGCAATCCCTTCTCAGAGAGAAGGAAATCATATTAAAGCCTTTCATTGTTACTCTGTATTTTGTTATTAGAAACTCAAGTGATATCAAAAGGATGAAAGTTCCCTGAGAAAAACCACTCACTTTCTCGGGATATAATGAAATGGCCCCACAAGTTTTAACCCTTCAGAGGGTAAAAATTCCCCTCAAACCCATGTAATTTTACTGTCACAACACTTAGTTTCTCTTCCTTGGTTCTGTTTGGTAAAATCCTGCTCCTGCTCCTGTCACATCTTAATTTAGGGCCCAGCCCTGCAACCTGAGCTGCTGGGGCAGCCCTTCACACCTGAGTGAAGCCCCACTGCAGCAAATGACACGGGACATGGGAGACACAGAGATCAGATGACAGGACTGGAGCCTCAGACTCCCAGCTGCCCAAGATGAGGTGGTTTTATTTCACTGAAGTCCTGCACACATGCTCCAGGGGTGGAAAACAAAACAAAAATATACAATCGAAACCTAACAAAACTTCATTCATTTTCTCACTTGATTTTCTCAGTTTCACATGCTGCTCTACTACTGACACCAACACACTCCAAAAAAGTAAATGAAATAACAGATTAATTTTAAATAAAATTAAATGAGTCAGCTCTCAGCATAAACCTGGATTATTTCTTAAACCTCCGGTCACAGGAATATGAGTTATATACAAATATAATTAAACAAGAAATAGGTCTTACTAAATTTTATCCTGCATTTTTCTTCTTTTTATTAATAAGGTTGCTGATCACAAGAGAAAAAAAAAAAAAGGGCATTTTAGGCAGCCAACTTCGATGGCATCAAAAAATAAAAATCAGCAAAATGTTAAACACATTTAAGAGTGAGTTGTTTGTACCACATGGCAACAAATACACAGCGTACATGTATGAGGAGTTATCAGCAAAAAGAACTGGCAGTTTTCCACACAATTCCAAAATAGCAATATGAAACCTTAGAATAATTTCTGTTTCTGCACTCAGGTTAGTTCTGTGAACACTGGGAACCCCTAACACTTAATTGCGTTACTTTTGAGATTTCAAGAATATATGGATCAAAATGTTAAGCACAATTTATATAAATAAGCTCTGCCTGACTGGTTTAATTTTTATCATGTCATTAACACTCGGTGGAAATTATCCCTTTAAACGTGAAGTGAAATAGGCAAATATAGCAGCAGCAATATTTGTGATTCACTCAGAAAACAAAGAAAGAAAAAAAAAAGCCACAAAACTTCAAAGTACATCCCATTTAAACTCCCAGTTCCTCTGCTTTACAGAGCAAGCTTAGCCTTTATCAGCCCAAAACAACACAGGTCATACTGAATTAACAGAAGGAGAAAACAGTGACTAAACTAATCCCAACACAACACTTGACACTTGGGAATATTTTTTTTTTGTTAAGCCTTTTGGTCTACACAAATCACTGGATTTTGCAAAGGTCCAGACCAACATAAAGAAGCGTCTTCAGTTATTCAGTTATTTTTAAACTGCAACTAAAATGCTAGTGCTTAGTAAACCCTGGTCTCTGTTTAAAATGGAATTCATTTTTAGAGCTTCCTTTTCAGAAGGTATTTTGTAAGTCAGCTCTTTCCTAATGAACGGTTTACAAACACTTTCAAAGGTTTTTCTTCAGCCCCCTTTAAATTTTTCTAGTTCGTTTTTTTAATATAAAAATACTAAAATTTCTTTCTGATTTGTTGCCACGGACTAAGATTGATACTATAACACTGTTCACAAATGAATGTGGATTTTTTTAAAGAAAAGCATTTAATTACCTACTTTGGAATCAAACATGTAGTTTGTCAAGGTACAACGGGTCATATTTCCCACTTTTTAAAGACAATGTTCAAAGGAAAAACTCAGAACTCTATCTAACATTTAATTACTTCAATAACTGACAGTAATTATAGGGAATATAATCTCAGATCTTATTTAAAAAAAAAAAAAATAAAATACAAAAGGTCATAAATCCAGCAAACTTATCCAGACATAGTCCTGGTGCTGGTCCTACCTGCTAGCTTTGGGTGATAATTAATAATTAACTGTAAAGTGCTTGTTTCAGACAAGAAATACTTCATCCTGTCACTTCAGTGGTGCTCCTTGCTTTCAGCTGTCTGCATCTTAAAAATGCTTTCTTGAGGTGGACTGCTGCTTTGGACAACATTCTCACATATTAAGTGTCTAGGTTCATATACAAACTCTTCTTACTTCAGACAAATTAAATCCTTAGTTTTCCCCTCTCACCATAATTTAGGTGCAAGCAACTCTGTAATTATTACTATATTATTATTATTATTTAATTATTATTTTACCATTTACAACCTAATATCACTTAGTGCTTATGTAATACAGAATTTTTCAGCCTGAAAGAAGGGGCAAAAAAAGGCCATACAAAATTACCTCAAATCCACCCTTTTTTTTGCTTCTCATGTACATTTCTAACTACTTGTTTCAGGTTCTGATTCCTTTCTAATAAGCAGAGCTCCAGGAGGAGAAAAGCATTACCAAAGACTTAATCCCAAATAATTAAGCAGCCAAAAGTATCAACCATAAAAGCAACCCTACCTCTGAGGAGTGTTTTTTAAGGATGTGTGAAGAAGATCAGTGGACAGGTGAGGACGGGAGCAGCAGATCTAAGAAGAATCAGGAAGCAATCATCTGAGAGACCACAGGCAGCTAAAGAAAACAAAGCCAAGGAGGAAAGAAGCGGGAGCTTTCTCCCACCACCTCTGAAAAGAGAGGAAAACAGATGAGAGGGAAACAATAACCAGGTGACTGGAAAAGACAGAGACTTCCTGCTGTAACGTGATCTTTGTGTACGAGAACTCAGGGAAGCAGTCGTTTCAGTTACAGCTAAAGGAAGCAAGAATTAAAGCATCAGCAGATTTGTTTGCACTTGAGCATTCCCAAAGCAGGGCAGTTCCCAAGGACTGGAACGTGACTTCCCACTCAGCACAAAAAAATGCCGTAAAAACCCGCATCTATAACGCACCACGACAATTATGATGCTCCAACCTGATCACAAAAACTGAAAGGTATCCATTCCAAACCAGGAACAAAATACACACATTACAAGCAGAAGAATTAAAGGCTGCTATTTCATTGCTCCTAAGCCTACACTGAAAACAGCAGCACACACTGATGTCACATGGTCTGGCCAGCACCAAAATAATTTCGCTGCAGAAATACAGGATCTGTGTATCAGGAAAGATAAGAGAGGCTTTTTGAAAAAACAATTAAAACTGAAAATCTAGAAACCAGTCAGTTTGGCAGCGACAGCTCACAAGAAATCTCAAACTCAGATTTTTAAATGGCGAATAATAATCATTAAAATAGTTAAATAAATCAAGACCAGTGAGCCAGGCACAGCTACCTGTTAACGTGCTGTTAATTGCAATCATTACTCATCAATATCACATATTCTGTGATAGAGCTGAGGGAATACTTCGGAGCTCACTGTTAGATAAATCCTTTTCACTTACCAGTCTGAGTGCACATACTGAGCAGAAGAAACACAGAGTAAGAAGCAAGGCTGGCAACAGTCAGCAGCAAGACACTAAAAATCACAAAACAGTCACAATTAAAGCACTTTTACAGCACAATGCACTTTCTAGCTCTAAGAATGCTACTTTTGCAAGAACTAAGCTACCACAAGACAAGATTTCCTCATTTTGTGGCTGGTATCTGCTGACTATGGTTCATGGGGTCCTTGACATTCCCAATACTTGTGAAGTTCCCTGCTCCTTATATTGTTCACTAAAAATAACACACACTATACAGGGCAAAGGCCTGACATAGGGATTACAAAAAGGACATAAACATAGGAGTTTGTGTGTGTGCATACACACAGACAAACACACAGCTTCCAGTGAAGTGGAACCAACACTCAGAAAATGGTAAAAGTGACAACTGTGGTGACTTTGGCCCCATTATCCATAGGTCAGCAGGTACAACAATTGAGTGCAAACAAAAGCACAAGCTGATTCACAATTTTCAGACACATATCCATCCTGCTCCAGAAGGCCCATTGCTGGAACTACAGGAGATAACAGCTTTGAAAGGAAACTGCCAATCTATCAGGAGTAATGGCCAAGAAATTGCCACCATGTGGCAATTTAATGCAACGTCTGGGCAGGGCTTATGTCAGGCCTGATCTGAATGACTAAACCAAAGAGGGAAGATCTTATTCAACAATTCTGAATAGCACATGCTATTTTATTTCTACCTCAGATTTGCACAGGAGCCTTAGTAATCAAGTTTTGTTCCACTTAAAACTACAAGCTGAGTTTAAAAATGAGGATACGTAAAAACTGAAAACTTACCTAAAGCCCATGATCCCTGTGTTGGCCATAGCATAGGATAAGCCAAGTATCCCACTGCCCATGATTGCATTCATTAGGTTGAACACCGAGAAAGCAAATGAGGAACCACGACTTGAAGAACTCTGTGAAAAGGCCCAG